CCAACCTAAGAGCGCGAAGGCCTCCAACCTAAGAGCGATGGCCTCCAGCCTAAGAGCGCGAAGGCCTCCAACCTAAGAGCGATGGCCTCCAACCTAAGAGCGCAATGGCCTCCAGCCTATATAGTAGCGATCGCCTTCAATCCTCTGATGTTGGGTATGGCTCCCAGACTGCTCAACGCCGAGCGTGCCCAGACCGGCTGTATTTACTTATGCCCAGTGCAATGCCAATTCACAGTTAGTCCACAAGACCTTCAATCCACTTGACCTAGTGGATCAAAGAGAAGAAACAAATAATAAACAACATGTCGTAGTGCATCCAGTTTCAATACTTTTGTTCAGCATTCATGCTGAGTCCTCCGATATCTGCCTCCAACTTCAGCGTCACAGCCATCCGCACCTCCTCAATGGCCCTCAATACTCAGTGAAGTGCTTCAGGATTCATGTAAACCAGCACTTGCAGAGTCTGTTAGTTCAAAGAATTGCCAAGAACATTCTGCCGCCTTTTTTGTTTTGTCGTCATGCCAATTTCATAAATCAACATCTCCAAGAGAGTGTTGAGTCTTCGACATTGGAAATTTCATGGGCTTTCCCAAGTGCCCCAAAGCACCAAAACTCCTTTCTCTCCAGCATTTGGCTTCACAAAGGTGGGTGCCTTCATGGCTGTGGTGCAGCAGATGTGGTACATTGCCCCTTGACACCCAAAAACCGCCCTGCGGCACGTGCTTAGCGCGGCCCGCGCCGGAGTTGGGAGTGGGGAGCAGGTTCGAACGGTTCGAGCAGAGGTACACTGGCGGTAGCCTGGCCGTGCTGTTTTTGGAGCAGGCAACGATGATTCTGGACCTCTCCACTGATAGAATGGGCGAAACCCACAGGGGTGGATCCCGAAAGGAGGCGGTGATGGGAAGTGATTTTCTGAGGCCCATCAGGCTCTTCTTGAGGATCTTATGACTCCATGAAGTGTGAACTGTATAAGTATAGGGACCTTAGCACCTTCTGGAAGTGCTTCACACCTGTTTTCACTCATGGTCTTCAACCCAGTCTGCAACCCCAGCACCCCAGGGTCTGTGTCCTCCCATTGCCCCCAAAAACCACGCAGGGCTCGAAGAAGCGCACCGCCCAGCAGGGCTCGCCGCGCGCATCCGCTCGCCCTGTCGCCGCCCAGGCGGTGGTGGTGATCTGCTTGACCTACGCGGGCATGCCCAACGTGCCACTCCAGTCGAAGATCCCAGGGGGTGACACGTTCCGGGCGGGTTCGTTTTGCAGGGAAACAAGCAGGGTCAGAGTGGCCACCGATTCCACTTTGGTTCAGAGGTGGTCCAAAGAATCAAAAGAGTGGTTGTGATGAGGCTTGGGTTGCGGATGTTTGTGGTAGCATCCTGTTTCTTTATCCACCTTTTCGGTCAGTTGCTGGGTCTTTCCTTTCCGTGATGAAAGGGCACTCGACGATCAACTCAGTCCAAGCTAGATGGGAGCCGACTGAGAAGCGGTTTGTACGCGGAGCGAGGGCGAGGACGAGACGCTTCTACTCCAGTCCTCCTCTCAGGCGCATCGTTGCAGGGGTCTGGGACCTCAGTTCGAAAGGCAGTCGCTCCGGTGAGAGCCTGGGGTTTTGGGATTTGGAATGAATCATTGGCATTGAGGAGAATTCCACGGGGTTGGAGGCCATCGCTAGTTTGGAGGTACGGTATGTATGTTAAGCGATGCTTAACTCACCAGATGTGATTGGCCAGCCCGTTTCTTTTTGGGATCTTCAAATGGGGATGAGGGGGAAACCTACTAGGGTACAAACTCTTGAGTCTCAAACTAAGCCTCCTGAGAATTTGCTTGTGTAGCCTGCAAGTAATTAAGCCTAAGTGAGTGTCTAACGTATACTAAATACCTCCTGAGCATCAAGGCTTCACCTGCCTTGCAGCCGCCACGTGACACGCCTCACACGCCTCACACGCCTCACCGTCACCCGCCGACCGACAGGTGGCCCCACCCGGACGCACGGGTGAAGCACTGGCGGCGAATGGCGCCACTGGGCTGCGAGTGGCGCGAAACGGACCGTTGGTCCGTCCGAGCGGTGTCCGGTGTGACAGGTGTCTGGGCTGCTCCCAAATGAGGTTCTGAAGGTGACAGTGTCTTGGGGTTGCCGAGGTGATGTGGCAAGGTAAGACCAGTTCAAACTTTTGGCGTTTGGTGCAGTCGTCTGGTTCCATCGGGTTGCCGATGTGGCTTGGTTTGAACCCCAGAGAGTGGTTTGATTTCTTGATGTTTCTTGGTATCATGGTAAGTACCTCAGTCTAATTGCTACAGACAAACTACTATATATAACTATTAGTTGCTACTTGGCTGTCGTTTAAAAGGCAACACATGTAACTGGTGGAGGCAGGGAACGTGGTTGACTGGTCTTAATAGAGCCGAAGAAAGTTTTGTTTGGCTTGGTATGGCTTGGTGCTGATGAGTTCTATACAGCAATATACATTTGATGAGGTAGAAGAGTTGCACTGTCAACTGCGGTTACTGTCGTGTTGTCAGCAAAGTGAACAAGTGCTGCAGGGTTCAGGAGGGAGGATTGACAAAGGATTCATTTGCTTCGTGAGACGGTGGTCGGTTAGTTTACGTTGCCTCAGAAATTGGAATCTACCTGTTTTGACAGCTTCAGGTGTTTTGAGATGTTTTGAGTTGTGCCTTTTTTGTGAGAGGGGATGATGTCCTTATTTTCTAACCATCTTCACGCGTTCGACGCCTGAAACGCGTCAGGTCTTTCAGATGCTCGCGGGGCTCCTGGGCAACATGGCCTGGGGGCCTGGGGGCAGATCCGGACGGCCTGATGCCTTTGTTGGGTGATTGGCGGAGACAGCGGAGACAAGCTATCTGCTCGTATTTGCTCGTTGAGGTCGGGATGACAAGGACTTCTTGACTCAGGTTTCCATGCGGTTGAATGGTCCACGGATGTTTCGAAGCGAAGCACAAGAGAGGTTTCGGGGTGAGACCATTCTTCTGACCCATCGATTTTCCGCATTGGCCACCACAAACCATTCAGCTCAAGAGCATGTCAGAGGGGTCGGATTGGGGTGTTGGGTGGTGTCCTTATTCAGGTTGGTGAGAAATAGATAGACTTACTGTAAGTACATAGCAGTCTATTCCGATTTCTAGTAATTTCTAATAGATTGCAGCAATTTTTCAATCCATCATCAATCATCCATACACACTCAAACATCCACGACTAGCAGCACGACGACATTTGCGCCTGCTTCGTTGTTTGCAACCTGAGGCAGTGGCAACGTTGAACCCAATGCTACTGAGCTCCAGCATGCCCAACCCTTTGTGGGCCCGAGCCTTAGACTAGAGATGACTTCTGCGACGATGCAGGAGCAGTTGGATGATGGACATAAGTTGAGGACCGAAGACCCAAACTCCCCCTGAAAGTGCTGAGGATTGCGCCGTCACCCGGCTTGATCAGTTTGGAAGGGTCCCGGATCCACACCACGTTTCTTTAGTGTTGTGTATGTAGACTCTTGATTAATCACCCCCTCATTTGAAGCTGACATCCTCTTCATACGGGGGGGTGTATGAATCAAGAGTCTACATTAGTTTGCTTGGTGTTTTCCAGAATCGAGGAGTGGATGAACGTCGTCACATCTCCACATCCATCGACCTCTTGAGGTCTACTATCCCGTCTGCGGCCTGTTGGTGCTTATGGCCAGGGCCGCCCAGCCTGTCTCGGCTGCGCCTGCGCAATCCGATGCCCAAGATGTGGGTGGATTCTTGGGGTGATTTACTGGAGTCGAACCCAGAAAAGGTGTTCCATAGAGGTGGGTGGGTTTTTCACGGCATGTTTCGAACGAAGCAAATTTCTCTATGGGAGGTCCAAAAAAATCCAAAAACAAGTGTAGACTCTGGGAGACTCCCAGGGCTGGCCACGCGTTTTCTTTGGTCCAACTGGCGAAAGATGGTTTGGCCGACAGGGTTTGATCTGCAAGATCTTCACACCAAGTCGAGGATCATAAAGAGAGTGTTTTTGCGTTTGCACCAGGAATGGTGTGTATATGGAATTAATTAGGAGGCCTCCCAAAGTCTCAAAGGGGAACTGTAAGGTGAAGCCATTTGCTTCAGGGAGAGACACAATTGGACGAATGAAGAACATGGCAATCAAGCAAACCTGATCATCATGAACCCACGGCTGTTGCTTTTTTGGGGTCCCGCTGTTGGTGGAAGAAGTCAGCAAGTTCACCATCTAAAACACTGGCAACAGTGGATAACAGATGACAACAGTAGAATCTTTCTAATTTTTCTACAGCATTCCACAGCCGTTCTCATCTTTCTACAGCATTCTACAGCAACATCACCTGGTATGACGCAACCTCCCCTGGCCCGCATCACACGCGACACGCCCCTCAGGCGATCTTGCCCTTGATCGGCACTCCCCGTGGTGGTTGGGGTCGTGGGACCCAGGGGGTGACCGGTTGGCTGGGTGCGGATGGCCTTGGCGCCTCCTGAAGCCGAGCACATGAGGTCAGAGGTGGGGTGTAAGACGTGGGCTTGGAGGGGCTATCTACTCATCTATTCGTTTTAAAACAACCTTTTGCTTCATGGACAGTTTTGTTTTTGCTTTTAGTAAGCAAACTTGCATATTAACCAGCCATCAACAGGATTGCACCTGTTGAATGAAGCAGTTGGGATTGCGGTTCAAGCAGAGCATGTTGCATCAATGTGTTCAAAATCATAGCTTGTCCCCTAAGATTATACCTCCTCTGATTGAAATCGGATCGAACATAGTAAACATTCAGTAAGTCTAAACCTCTGGGCGCCGTCGCATGAGGAGCTGCCACTGGCTCAGTCACTGACCAGGCGCGTCGTTCCACGCGCGCGTGTGGAACGCGGAAGGTCGCCCAGAGGGATTCGATGCCTACAGGGTGTATGCCTTCCAGCACGGGGTGCCTGTATAGTGGTTATAGTGTGTGGCAATCAGTCTGTTTCTTCCCGGCATCATGTGGCTTCACTGGAGTTCTCAGTTTCACCAGCTTGGAGAAGGAGCTTGAATCGGTTTCTTCTCCTTCATTCTTCTGTATTGCTGGGCGTGAACTGTTATTTGAGTCCATGGTAAGCACCCAGGTGCACCAGAAGATCCAAGGAGAGACATGGGGATGTCCTCTCTTCACCTTCTTGTCGAAGCATTATTCTCAAAACATCTCAAAACGGATACAGATGGACAGAAACGACGGATACAGCACGACCAACAACCAACAACCTCCTGGATCTAGAAGATGTTGCTATGCATTTTGCCGTGTCATAGTTGGGCTGCTCGATGAAGTTTGATGAACCTTTTGAAAACTGAAAACACAAAAGAAAAGAACAAACTGACCAGTTGCAAAGCCACCAGGGCTGACCAATTGTTGATGCTCGGAATTCAGCCCGAGTGCCCGGTACATCCACGTCAACCAGACTATCAGAAGCCCGCTCCAGCCGCGAGCCTTCTTTTCCATGCCAGATCCATGCCATCAGCTGGGCCGACGGAGCTTTGTTCCGTTGGTATTACTTCGCCATGAGGCGCGACCGCGGGAGACATAGGGACCGTCGCCGGTCACGCGCGCCGCGGGCGAGGGTGATTTCCTCGGTGCCGTTTTCGGTGGACGACGGCGTGGAATGAAGAAATCATGGAATCATTTCATGTCCGAAGGCCAAGCCATGGGGAGATCTCCGGCAACGACCTCCGGGAAGAAGTCAAATAGAAAGCCACTGGTTGGGGTTCTAATAACATACACCCTACTAGGGCTCCAGTCGTACCTTCTTAGAAGATGGGACTGAAGGCCTTGGTGCCGTCCGGGTACGACTGGAGCCCAAACGGGACACACGCGCCAGCTCTTAGGAGGCGATTTGGCCTGAACGCATCTCCACCAATCGCTCCGCGAACGCAGGCAGCGGATGTCGCGACAACAGCAGGGCTCCAGTGTGCCGCTGGGCGGAATGACCGTGAAAACCGTTGACGCTGTGGATCCAAACCGGACCTGGATCGAGGAATCCACATGAACAGAAAAGACGACCAGTAAATGGTCAACCTATACCCAGACACTAATATGGCACTGCCATATTTAGCTACATTCGGGATGGTTTCAAGGGTCACTGTAGGCATATATGGCAGTCCCATGGAGTCTTTGGGATACGTTTGCACTGGTTGGACCGTCATGCCTTCTTGGAAGGTGAGACTGGGGAGGGTTTTTTCAGGGTCCAGTCATACCATCGTTTCGTTTCGGATTTAGTTTCGGTACGAAACGCGATGAAACGATTTCGGCGGTCCTTGGTCTGGGCTCTTTTCATCGATCCGTTTAGTTCTTGGGTCTCCAAAGTTAGGGGATTCTCTCATTTCATGGAAAGAAGCACGGGCCCCTTTTTGAGTTCTCCGTACGCGAACGCTCGGATTGCGCGTTTTTGGTTGTTTTACGCACGCGTCTTTAGTCAGGAAGTCCTACATCAGCGAGCAAGACCTCATCTATGAATATCACGAGGAGGATGCTTTCCTCCCTGAGGCCGGACCATGAGTTGCCCTCTTTGGGGAGGAGTCCTGAAATAGATAGAACTATTTGCAGTGTGTGTTTGTCTCTTTTTGGTGGACATCTAGGACAAACACTATGTTTTTTGTATTTTTTTTTGTATATTATAGACTAATCCTTCCACGCCATGCATGTAGTAGAAAAGAATCAGTTTGGCGTCGTCTGCTGGACTTTGACAAAGGCTTCGCCGTTTGCTTGTTGGAAGCTCCGAACGTGGCACATATCAAATTGTTTGCCTGCATCCAGGTTCGTGTGGTCCGGGTGCAGTAATAACCATTAGTAACCTGTACTTCACACATCTCTGCCATCTTTATGGGCACACGTTTTCCTCGTCTCCTGTTTCCACAGAGCCATATAGATATCTTGCGTGGCCATAATACATGTATACAAACCCCATTTTCTTCCACCGAACACCTCCCCCTCGCGTAGTACGAATTCCTTCATCACACGCGAACACCCCACAGAGACAGCACGCAGGCCGTATCGCACGTACTCGTACGTGCACAGGAGTGCTCTCGCGCGCACCGAGTAGGTTGACCCGGGACACGTCGCAGGTGAGCAAGCGGGAATATGAGGCGGCCTTCAAACTCTTCGACCATGAGGGCACCGGGCGTATCACCAAGTCGGACCGAGCGAGGGTCTGGTGGAAGTGGGGGCGCCTTTGAGCAGCATGGTTGGTAGAAGAACCGGACGAACATCAATATATGTCACAGATATGGGTTTCCTGTCTCTGGCTTTGGAAGCACTTTGCTGACACGACCAACACTTGAAGTGTGTTTCGTCGCCCGTTGACCCAACAACAACACGGTCGAGCAGGACATCGGCGCAGTTCTGAAGGCTGCTGGAAATTTCCCCACAGACGAAGACATCGAGGCGCCGGTTTCAACCGAGGGCCTGAGGAGATGGAAGAGTGGGAGAGGAGATGGTGTTGATGTGTCACATAGTGCAACCTCGAACATCTTGAATTGTCTGCCCTTGGCATGGATTCCTTTGCCCTAAGCCCACAAAATCTTGAACCGGCCATACCATACATTAAACCCTGTGAAGAACAATCAATGGCCACTCCCAGGTTTTTTGGCCTATTGGAGTTTTGGTTCCCCAACACTCCACGGATGGAGTCGGAGTGTTTGGGGTCATAGAAGGTCATGTCGACGAAGAACAGCTTCTGAGTTTGACTGGCTGACAGGATCTGACAGGGCAGGCAGCAAAGAAATGGCTGGACTCGACCAGCGTTTTCTTTCAGCACCGAGAGCCTCCTGAGCCTCCTCCTCCTCCTCCGGACCCCCAGCAAGTTCCAGTTCAACTTGGAGGTGGTGCGCCTGACTCCTGTTGAAACAAGGGCTGCATGACCAGGCTGACCTTTTTTTCTCCAGCAAGGAGTGGGTATCAACTCTGGAGCTGAGCAAGAAGCATTTCTCAGGGGTGTGTGGAACCCTTTCTAAACCACACGAGAGAAACAAAACACGAAGGACAGGGATGAATCATTGACAAATTGACTTACCCAAAAAATCCAAAAAAGTGTATACCGGTATACCCCTAAAGTGTCCAAAAACCAGAGTGCCTAGCTAGCTTTAAGAGATGCCAAGCTTTGATGGTATCACCAGTTGCTGGCTGCTGCTTCTCATTTTGATAGCACATCCGATCGACCTCTTGTGAGATACACCGGCGAACGCATGGAACCTGGAGATGAAACAGGCGTCCAGGGGGCCAACCTATATCATTTCTCTATTGGTGGACTGTGATCTCCAATCACTATCACTACCCCTCCATTCATCCGGGAATTGTATATATATATGTCTAGTTATACATATTGTATCATCATATTTTTTGTAACCTTTTTGTTCGTCCCCCACGACGGAGTCATCTCGCACGCCGGGTCGGACACCGCAGAAATTCATGACCAAAGTCGACACGGACGCTTGGGTTGCAGCGTTGCGCCGTTGCGTCGCGCCGTTAACGTCCGGTTCCCGACGCTGCGGCGGTGATGTCGTGTGGTCAGGACACAGGGCTGAAGGAGTGTAGACTGGTTTTCCTGAAGGGCAAGATTCTCCGGGGTCAGTAGACTGGTTGGGAAAACCCTTGTGCCCGTGTCTTTCACCCAGTCTAGTGTAGGAGAATCCAGATAGGTATATGCAGGTGAATGGTCCTGGATCCTCCATATGTGTTGGAAGTCCTTCCCCCTCCTCACCCGGCGAATGTCAACGTGGTCAAAGTGGTGGTCACAGCCGGAGATACAGCAGGGAGATGCTCGTGAGCCACTGCAGAGCCGTCTCATGGCTGTGCGGTCCCATCACCTGAGTCTCTACCTCCTCAGCTTCCAACCTGGAGGTTGGAGGCCATCGCTCTTAGGTTGGAGGCCATCGCTCTTAGGTT